ATTGCGAAACTGGTGGGCCAAAATAGCTAGTGAAATGAAGATAGCTTCTGCATCGGTGAATAGTCGAAAACCGTTTCATTTGCGGCTCCAGGTTGGAAGAAACCACTTGGAGGTCAACAGTTGATGTGGAAACGAGGCATGAAGAATTACACAGAACGATTAGGTACAATAACTGTCTCCCGTCTTCCAGGCCGGAGTCCAAAAGATTGCACTTGGTTGATTGGAAACATTGAAGGATATGGCAACTAACCGACAGTAGTGTCGTTCTTGGTGTCATTTCTTATCAGGCCCGAATGCTTAAAACGGTATGTATGCTCAGTTATTAAGTGTACTCTGTGTGTTGACCATAGATGTTGACTTTCTTCACCTCGCTCCAGTTCGGCCCAAACCCTATCCATCTTGTACTTTCTCACTTAATTTGTGTACATAGATGGTGATCAGCCAAGTTCGCTTCACTCCATCTCGCTGTACGCATATATATATATATATATATATATATATATATATATTTCACACATGTCTGAGGCCGGGCTGTGTGCCCAAAAAAATCGTGGTACAATAGTGTTTATAAAAGAGAAACACGTTCCATGATTCAAATGTGGGCCAAATACCGCTAGGTTGCCTGGGCCAAGGCAGGAATCCAACAATGTGAACTCGTTTTCTGCGCTACTACATCAGCTGAGATGCAGCGAAATGTGCCTTGGCATAAGTTGTGCAACCTAGTTCTGTTGTGGGCTCTCTTCAAGCTTACGCTGTGTAAAATTAAAAAAATGCTCTGTATTCATCCACATAACACTTTTTCAATGCGCATGTGCCATGGGCTTATTTTAATTCATTTCTGATCTATTGGTCTATCATTAGTTATTTCACGTGCACACTCTTCACTTATCCATCGGCTCTGACTTTTCATCAGATCCTTTTCATTCCGTCATCCCGATTTCTGCTGTAATGAGTGTCCGTGCTGCGCGTAACCCCAATCTGACTCCGTTTGACACTGCATAAGTCCCCTTACTGTTCGTTCGGATTCTTTTCGCAGATAATTGATTGCGTACACCCACTCGGGATGTTCAAAATCGGTGGTAGGGAGAAATTTAGAAACGGCAGCATTTCAGTGTTCCACTTATCACTTTAAGGCAAACTCGTTCAAACTTTAATTGTTTAATTCCAAGAATTTTCGCTGTTCGTTATGTAAACTGTGTAGAACTGTTTTACGTTCCTCATTTTTTGCAGTGAATCGCAAATCTCAATAGCTAATTGGTTTCTGTTTTGTCATTGTGAAGACTAATTTATTTTTCTCAATGATAATATTAGTTTTGACTCACCATCATCATCATTCGTTCATTTTTGCATGCTTTATTTCGGTGATGGACAGTAACTTGCCTGCACCGCCGACGGGACACCGCACTGACGAATCTTTTGCCAAGTCCAAGCAGCCGTCTACCGTTGTAAGCGAATTGCGCGAGAAGCTTGCTTGGTGTACTTCCCGGTTGAATGAGACCGAATCTCCAGAGGAGATTGGCCAATGGGCCGAAGCTATCCGATGCCTCGCTGAAGCAGCAGATGCTGTTTACAAGTGTTCGGCTTCCCTGTGTTAAAACTGTTCCGGAATAAACACGGTGTGATATCTGCCAACCTATTTGTATATCTCTCCTTGTGCTCGAACTTCTTACAGATTTAATATATTCTCCAAGTGGTTTGAAAATGGACTTGTTGCATTTTTAATTCAGTTACTTGTAGCAGTGGATTAGCCCCTATTACTAATTTTGGCGGACTATCCTTGCTTACGATCCTCCGTTCGAATAGATAACCACATACTCGCATGTCCCTCCAATTAAGAATCTTCAATACGCATGAGCACCAGCCAACCCACAGATTCCGACGTTCGATAGGGTTGCTCCTTATCATTGCTATTTTAATGCACTATCTGTTGGGCAATGGATGCTTCAGAACTCACCGGCAAAACTGGTGATCTCGAAAATTCCCCTAGAAGATAGTGCAGCTGCCCTAAAGTCCATTGGAATCATGTATCGCTCTTTATGATAGCCATGAGACTGGAGATCAAGACATTTCCGTCTTGCGCTAAACTGTCTACGCTTCAAATATGCTAATGGTGATCCAATTGAATCCGTCTATACATTTAAGTACCTGGAATCCACGATTCTCTCAAATGGACTCTGCATCTGATCGTTCGTCCGCGTGAAACCAGCCCATCCTTCCGAAGGAGATAAGCACAAAAAGGTGCAAATAAGTTTGTCGACCATGTAATAACCAGCTCACATTAGAACTGATCAATATTATCAATATTACTCGACCCTTCAGAGACATCCGGATCTCGCGACGGCGCCACAGATGTCTCAAGTTAACAAATGCCAACCGAGCCTTCTGTATGCGAGCTGACACTTCATCCGTGATGCGTCCACCGGGTGAGATGTAGCTGCCCAAATAACAAAACTTATCCACCTGCTCTATTACTTCCCCAGTTAGAGTGAGGCTGGGT